CCCTCCTCACCAAGGAGGTTGGGCGTCCCTTAAATATTAGCGGGACAGTGTGATTTCTCTTTTGTAGTTGCCGCTCTGTTGGATTCCTTGCTCTTTTTCTGACCTTGTGTAGGGGCGCTGTATAGATTTCTGGGGTGTGTCCTCTCAGTGGGTGCACTATACACATCGCTAGTCTGTGGTTCTCTGTTCACTTTCTCTCAGGTGTCTCCACCTTTCTCTTTCCTTCCACCCCGGGCATGAGTGTGTGTGTGTGTGTGTGTGTGTGTGTGTGTGTGTGTGTGTGTGTGTACACACGCAAGAGCTGTGTCAGAATCTCTATTACCCTGCCGACCTTCGCCGCTTCCTTGTCCCCTGAGGCTTTAGGGGAACCTTCCTATTGGGTGTGGAGACAGTCTGATTTGGAGAGCCCTTGCAGGCTTGGGGTGGACAGGATGGCAGGGAGGGTCCCTGCTAGGAGCTGATCACTTCCGCCGCCCAGCTGGGGGCCGGCGTTCTCCGCTTCGCTGGGCAGCAGCACCGCGGCTCCGACTCCCCTGGGCCCTGGGGTCCGGCGCACAGAGGCGGGGGCAGGGTGGGGGTGCGGAAGCTGCCGGAGCAGATAAGGCCGGGGTCAGTCCTGCGGCGAGGCGGTGCGGGACGCAGCTGGCCCACCCCCGTATCCAGTGCCGTGGGGGAGGAACTTCGGTGGGATGAAGGAGACCCCACCTGCACCACAGAGCCTGACCCACCCCAGGGAGCAGTCGGGGATGGGGCCTATCTTGCTCTCTCACCTCGGGACAAGTGGCAAGTGACAACAGGGCTGCCCCCTCGGGTGTATCTCAGCTGGAAAATACAGGACTGGGAGCTCACTTCCCCCACAGCTATGTGGGATAGAAGAGGCCCACTTGAAAGCCCTCTGAGGATTTAGGTTGGTCTTGACTTTTGGGCCTGATGTATCCCGAGGCTCTCACTGGCTGTGCCACACCTTCCTGACTGTCAGGCTTCATTGGTCTCCAATGAATGAAGGGGGAAGGGGCTTGCCGAATTTACAGCCAGCAAACAGATTTAGGCTTTGGGAAGCCTCAAGTTTTTACAATTTTGGATGAAGTCTAAGGAAAAGGTTAAAAAACCATAAATACAGAATTGCAGACTCCCTTCCCAGGGCTAAAAGGGTTAAAAGCTAGGAAAGAAGGTCAAGTCCAGTTTCCTAGGACAGCACCACCCAGAAGCGCCTAGCAAGGCCTACAATGTCTCTTCTCAGAGCTTCAGAGACCACCAACACAGATACCTAACTTGTCAGGGAGACCTAAGGACATACTGCAAGGTGACAGAAGCAGTAACCTTTATGCCCAGGCAGTGGTCGCTAAGAATATCAAGAGCCATGGAGTATTTGAGGCCATCAGGTTCAAGGTTTCAAGTCCCACCGTCACTCAAAAGTTTCAGGTGGGAGGGGCAGGTAGAGAAGGAAAGCCTTTTGTGGTTCCTTTGTGAAGTGCAAAAACTGGATTTGTACAAGAAGGGGCTTCAGGGCCCAGGCAGGCAGTGGAATGAGGGGCCCTGGGTCCAAGCGCCTCCCCCCCAACCCCCCTTGGCCTGCCGCTGAGGTTCTGAGGCTGAAAGAGCATTCAGGAAAGAGAGCCTTGGCTGCTATTAAGTCAGGTTCTCTTCCACGACATTTCCAGACCAGGTTAAGCACTTTCCTACTGTGCCTCCCAACTCGAAGGTCAGGTTACATCCTCAGGGACTGCTCTCAGCCACAGAACTAGACTTCAAAAGCTACAAATGGGGCCAGGCGTGGAGGCACACTCCTTTAATCCCAGCACTCAGCAGATTTCTCTAAGTTTGAGGCCAGCCTGGTCTACCTAGTAAGTTAAAGGTCAGCCAGGGCTACATAGACATATCCCGACTCAAAAACAAACAAACAAACAAACAAACAACAGCTCTTGCAGCGGATGTGAGTTCAGTTTCCGTCACCCACAGGTTTACATTTGGAATACACATTTGGCAGTTTACACTAGTACATAACTCCAGTCCCAGGGAATCTGATCAAGGCATACACAAACATATATGCAGCCAAAACACCCAGGCACATAAAATAAAATCAAACAATCCAAAAATCCTACAAATGTTTGGTGTCAATGCCTGGAGTCTAGGCACTGGGAATATGCCTTCCTCAGCTGGTTAGTGTCTCAACGTGTGGGTCACAATCCCACTGGGGGGTCAAATGACCCTTTCACAGGAGTCACCTAAGACCATCAGAAAACAGATATTTACAGTACAATTCATAATGACAGAAAATTACAGTAATGAAGTAGCAATGAAAGTAATTTTACGGTTGGGGGTGGCCATACATGAAGGGTCGAAGCATTAGGAAGGTTGAGAGCCTCTGGTACAGAGTGCCATGCTACTGTTCCTCTGGAGAATTTCAAGGTGGGAGGTGAAAGGGAACTTCTCAGTCAAGGAGGCTGCTCCACATCCTGGGTTTTCGGTTTGTTTTGTTTTGTTTTGTTTTTCAAAACAGGGTTTCTCTGTGTATCCCTGGCAGTCCTGGAACTCGCTCTGTAGGCCAGGCTGGCCTCAAACTCAGAGATCTGCCTGCCTCTCTCCTGAGTGCTGGGATTAAAGGTGTGCATTACCATGGCAGGCCTCGAGTTCTGTTTTTCAAACTGTTATTATATTTCGTGTGTGTGTGTGTGTGTGTGCGCGCGCACGAGTGCACATACACACATGTGCTCATATGCGAGGATGCACACACGAGTACATACCATGCGATACATTTGGGAATCAAAGGACAATTTATAGGCGTCAGTTCTCTCCTCCCACCGTGGGAGTCCTGGGGACTTAACTCAGGTTGTCAGGATTGGTGGCAAGAGCCTTTACCAAATGAGCCATCTTGGTGGCTCCATTTTGTTTTTCTGATGAAAAGTCTCACATAGCCCAGGCTTGCACTTTTGTAGTTGAAGATGACCTTGAACTTCTGATCTTCCTGTCTCTACCTCCCAAGTGCTGGGATCATAGGCATGTATCACTATGTTCCATTCTCATTCTGGCTTTTAAAATCTCTCTTTTCCCTACACTTGAGACAGCTTCCCAACCCTAGCACCTTCTAGGGGGATCAGGAGAAGTAAACTCTCAAGACAGCACTGAAGCAGAGGGCTAGGAAGACGTGGCCCCTGGCCTGGCTGTGCACTCATTGTTTGCACAGGATTTATCCTGGACTGGAGAGCAGAAGGACTGAGCTATCTCCCTTCTGCAGCTCAGGTCATCTGGCCCTCTGCACAGGGCCTCAGTTTTCTCACCTGTAAAATGGAGCTAATCTTGCACCTGTAAGGACTAAAGATGCTATCTGTCTAAATGGGCTGCTGAATACCACGGGTCATCTAAATAGACATGGTGAGCAAGAAGTGCCAGCAGAAACAGGGAGTCCCACCCCCAGCAGAAGTTTAGGCCTTTGAGGTCTCTGTTCCCAAGGGAGAGCCCCTTGGTTGAGGGCTGAGAAGCCTGGCTCTGGCATTCTCCCAAACCAGGAATGGTCAGAGCAATACCAGAGGCCCTGGGGTGCTCAGGGAAGAATGGGAGCCAAGCTTCTCACCTAAGTCAATCAGGTGTGTGAGGAGGAAGTGGAGATTTCTGGGAGGAGGCAGGAAGGAGACTGTGGTATGATGCTGGCCTCAGGAGGCCACACTCCAAACCTTATTTGTCCCTCATTACAAACGTTTGAAATAAGCATTCACCCCCTTTTCCAAATTCAAATCTGAGGTTCAGGGGTGGGGTCACTTCTCAAGGGTCATTCACGGCACACGAATTCCATGGTCTGTTTGGCTGACAAGGTTGCTAGAGAGATGGTGTAACCTTGTTCTCTTGCTGAGGAAACAGAGGTACCAAAGAATGTCAGTTCCCACCTCTCTCTCCCAAGAGCTCCACGTGGGAAGCTGTCTAGATGGCACTGTGACACTGGGGCCTGAGGAGAAGTCGCTAATGGTAAGAACAGTGAACTGGAGTAAGTTTGTATCTACATCAGAAGGTCTTCAGTAGAGGAACCTGGTGTTCCTTTGCCCGTACTCCAGTAGCAGAAGAAAGGGCCCCGGGCATGGAGACATGACTCATATGAGACCCCCCCAATACCCCCCCACACACACACACATTCATAGTTTTTTGTTGTTGTTGTTTGTTGAGATAGGGTTTTCTTTTGTAGCCCTGCCTGTCTTGGAACTCGTTCTATGGACCTGGCTGGTCTCTAACTCAGAGATCTGCCTGCCTCTGCCTCTAGAGTGCTAGAGTTAAAGGTGCATGCCACCACTGCCTGGCTTCATCCTTCATAATATGGAAAACTCCCTTATTTTAGTAGAGTCTCCCCTTTTAACCTTTTGCCTAAGTGGGCAACTCAGAGACACACACCACGGCTCCCTCCTGTGTCTGTATGTATTCCGTGTCTACACCTTGGACCCTAGGGAACTGAGAGCTGAGAGAAAGAGCAAGAGAAAAAAGGCCAAGGTAAAGGCCTGGCCACTGTCCCAGTACAGGGCTAGCTCTACCTCTGCCCCCTGCCTTCTCTCACAGACATTTGTCCATCCAGCCCCAAGAATCTTGTTCATAGTTTCCAGGATGCTCCACCCTTCACTTTGTCCCACAAGGTCCTTGGTCCGCCACCCATCTGCATGACCTTTTGCTATGAAGTCTGGCATCTACCCTCCAAGGACTGATGCACAGCCGGGGATTTCTAGACCTCTTAGGAGAAAATTTGGGCCCAAATTTTCTAGTCAGGGGTGCCTAGCCCCAGAGATCAATGAAGAGGGTTGTTGGGGAGGAGGCTCTGGGTAGGTGAGGAGGCTAACCTTCCGAAGAGACCTGGATGCTGGCTGGAGAGGCAGGAGGAAGGAGGGAAGGCTATGGGTGCCCCAGGCTGCTGCCTGGCAGGTCCCCGTGCCCAGGCTAGGGAAGTTTGTTATTTCTCCTGCTTCGACTTCCCCCTTTGATTTATTATAGCCATGAAATGCTCTGCTCTCTTCTCTTTTCCTTGCTGTACCCCGGGGTTGGAGGAACACAGGCCTCCCCAGGCCCCAGGATTCAGCCTTACTGGACTACCATCTCTTTCCAAGGGCAGGGCATGGGGACCTGGAATGAGAGGTGAGTTGGGCAGGCAGGGTAGGATGGGAGGGGCCATGGCCTTCCCAAAGCAGGCCACCCCAGGGTGGGCAAAGTATTATCTGGACAGAGGGTAAAGTAGGTATAGATTCGACAGCAGCAGGCTTCCTGGAGAGGTAGGGATAGCAGGCTCAAGGCTAACGACCTTGGTAAGGCTTAAAGTAGAGCCTGGCTAGGGTCTGAAGACCAAGCGTCTCCAAGTGGCAAATATTGTATTTGAGACATGGGTTCTATATGACCCCTGAAACCAAATTCAATTTAGGTATAGCCGCAATAGGCCTGGCTCAGGGCAGCTGAGAACCTTGAATTAAAATGGCCTGAGCTCTGAGTGCCCAACTCTAGGCTCTCCTAGGTCACAATGGGACATCACCCTAATCCCTGCACATGAAAGCCAGGGTCTGTGTCTGCTCCTCTGCGGGCCTGGTGGAAGGAGCGTTTCTCCCAGGCCTGTGTGGTGCCTGTGGTAATGGGGCTGTTGGCGTTTTGCAATGGGCAGGGGGTGGGGAGGCAGTGCACACATGCTTCCTGTGGTGACTGGGCGCTTCCTGTTTTCTCAGGCACCGGCCTTGCTGCTGCCGATGTGGAAACAGGGGCAGCTGCAGCCAGGGCGGCTCCAGGCTGGGCATTCTGACCCTGCCCAGAAGGGAGTGAGGGGCCCACCACCCTTAGACTTAAGATCTGGACAGTGGGTGGGCGGGAGTCTCCTCCTGCCCACACTGTGTCCTAGTGTTAGCTTACCCAAGGGAAAGGTCAGACAAGCTGGGAGCCCAGGAGGTTAGCACCAAGGGGTGACAGTGCTGGGCCACATGGTTCTAGGTTTGGTTGTCTCTCTAAATGCTACTGTCAGCCTCTCCCATGTTCCAACCCTTGGTTTCTGGTTTTGTGTAGCGTCATGGCAGCCATGATGTAAAATCCCTAACCCACACTGGCCCTAGTTACAACATTCACAGTGTTGGGGACAGCACTGATGCTGAGCCCCCCAGAGGTGGAGCTGGACATTGACCTTGGCAAAGGGGGAGATAGTAGACATCAGAAGAGTGTAGGTCAGGTCCGACCTACCAGAGCCAAGTACGTCCTGGAGTTGGTGGAACAGAGGGACAATAGCGGAAGGACACTTTTATCCCTGCAGATGCTGGAAATGTGTTTGACAGCCCCAACATTCTCCCTCAGAAGACTAGTGGTCAGACGCAGGGTTCCCCTCTCCCAGGGACATAGAGACCCATACAATCCCAGGAGCCTTGGGAGAAACCTACTCCTGACCCCACCAGTCAGCCTGCTTGCTGGGCTGAGATGTGGTGTTGACATTAGGGGCAGGCCTTGAGGTTTGACATCGCCTCTTCCCGAAGCTGTTTGTTTTGCTTCTGGGCTGGTATTTCGAGAACTGGAGGGGAATGACTTTGCTTCGTGAGGAGCTTGCAGAGGGCATCTGGCCCCTGAATGAGGCTGAGGCTCAAGCCCCTAAACATTGACCAATTTGTGGACTGAGTTAACTAGCTACTCTGTTGGTCTAGGGTGTTTTGAGATGTGTACTCCACAGGAAGCTCCCCTCTAATCCCAAGATTTGCTAATCATAGCAGAGGGACCCAGTTGCAACTTCAGAATCCTCTGACTCTAAGACTCAGGCTAAGGAGCCATTGGACCAGCCTGGCCTCGACAGTTCTGTGCCCTGGGCCTGCCTGAGTGCTGAGTTGGCGACACAGCAGCTGCCCTGGCCATGGAGGCCCAGTTATAAATAAGCGCCATCTGGCCAGGTCATCAGATTCTGCAGAGCCTCCAGTCCAGCTGCATTACCTCAGTGACCACAGGTCGGGCTGCCCAGTGCTGGGCTCGCCAGAACCTACCCAGCTCACACCAAAAGCAAAGTGTGATCCTCGAGTCTTGGGCTTAAGCATCTGTAAGCCCCTCAGACCTAAGCCTCACTGGACACAGGCCATAGAGGGACAGGGCACATTCCGCCTTCACGGAGCCAGAGCGGGCAGCTATTTACAAACCGAAACCGGGAGAAGCGAAGTGGCTGTGGCCAAAGTGGCTCCAGGTCCCCAGCCCCCACTCCCACTCCATCCCCACTGGCCCAGCCCCCTCTCCCCATGGCTTCCTCTTTCCTTCCCCCGCATAGCTCCCCAACCTCCCACTGCCTGGTCAGCTCTAGATTCCCTGCTAGCACCTCACAGTGACCTCTAACTCCCACAGTATGTTCCTGGGGGTCACCTTCTTTTCATCCCAGGACCCCAACAATCAGAGCTCCTGGAGCCATGCCTTCCACCAGCCTCAGCTCACCCTGGGCTGCACAAACACATTCCCACAGTTCTCGGTTCCCTTTCACGCCTGGAAAAGCTCCAACCTCAATGGCCGCCACAGTGCTTCTGGCCTCCACCCAAGGGCGGCTTCTCTGGCCGTTCTTAACCTTCACAATGGACAAGTAAGGGTCAAGAGATCTAGCAGGCTTGGATGGTATTGAAGTCCCTGGGGCCCTGGCAAGGCAAGCTTCCTGGCAAGAAGCCCTGCCCATCACTTTATTCAAACTGGATTTCAGCCCCTTGTCAGATCAAACGTGTGAGGGTCACAGGCATTTGTGCGGTCCAGACTTGAGTTGAGATAGCTAGGACCACAGCCCAGCACTGCCTAGAAACTAGTAGCAGTTTGGTACTTCAAAATAGACAAATGGTTGACAACATAAACCATTACTTGGAGGCTGAGAACGTAGCTCAGTAGGTAGCGTGCTTGTCTAGCACAAAGCCCTGAGCTTGGTCCCCAGCACTATATGAACAGTCTCGGTGGCACACAGTGTAAGAGGATCAGAAGCCCAAGGTCATCCTCTAATAAGTACCACATTCAAGGCTACCCTGGACTACATGGTTCAAAAACAAGGAAATGGCTCTTTTGGTTCAAAAACAAGGGAAACTTCTACTGAGGGTAGACAGCCTCCTCATATTGATACAGCAGCTTAAAGCTCACAGTCATCTATTTGTCTTGGAAACAAAACAATATCCTTATCTGTCATAAAGTAGAAACAGAGGCCCCAGGAGGAAGCCATGCATCTAAGGGCACACTGCTAGAGAGCATCTCAACGGACATGGCCTCTCCTTTGCCTGCCCCGATCCACTCCTCAGTCTCCGTCCTGGCAGGACAGATGTTTTCCAGATGTGACAAGGACAGAGAGAGATGTCCTGGGGAGAAAGCAGGCCTTATAGCATGGAGCTTGTCACCTTCCCTGAATGTATATTACTCATGCCCAGTTCCTCTGGCCTTCTCTGCTCACCCAGTCCTCCTTTCTTGCCATGTCCTGGCTGAAGGAAGGGACTAGTCTGAACTTGCTTGGTCCACAGACAGCTGACTGAGAGCTGCCTGTCTTCTCTGAATCCTCACAAACATTTAGTTAGTATGCCATGCCAGCCCTGTGTCTGGTGCCCAGTGTCTCTACAGCTGAGACTTATCCTTTGACCCCAGAAACCTATAATCCAATGGACAGGTGAACAACAAAATTCCAAGAGCTTCAAGAGAAGGCTGTGGGGGAAACAGAGGCACAATGAGGATTGTGTGGGATGGGGAAAGGATGTACAGAAGAGGGGCTACTTGGGATGGCCCATGTATGACAGGAAAGTGAGGATGGGGTCTCCATGCTGAGCGCCTCAGCTTTGGTGGTCCCATGGTCTGGGTGACTTTCCTTGCTCTTGACTTTGCTGAATTCCTTACTAACCTACCAAGACCCTCAGACACACCGTAGCATGTATGTCGGACACACCAGGCCGGGCCTGGCAGCTCCTCACCTTCCTCCTCTTTCCAGACCCTGAACAGAACCAGAGGCCGGGTCTCCTTGTTCGTAATACCCTTGCCAGCCCCACCCGGGCGGGTGTCTGCTCCCAGGCTCCAGCCCCCTTTGTCCTCTGCTCTGAAAAGAGCCGTTTCCCTTTTCTGGGTGACCACACACCATGCACAGGGAATTTCCACTGTAGCCTGCGGAGTGTCTGATTCACTCAGGCCCCTCACAAAATTAACTCCTTGCAGGTCCGACATACTGGACTGTCTCCCACCTAAGCTGAGAGGCTTAGATAGCTGCGTACTGACCTTGGGCCCCATAGAGTAGAAGTTGAGCTCAGACTCCACTTAGCACCCCTCGTCCACCCCATCACAAAAACCTCAAACATGCACCCTCAGGCATCTTCCCAGACAGCAAGAGATTGGAGGGGAGGCAAACCTGCCCTTTTCTACCTGTGTGCTTGAAATTTGCCCATTGCTTATCTATAAAGTAGAAGCAATTCCTGACCATAGTCTTACTGAAAAGACAAGTGTGCTGGGCCCACAATAGGAGCTCTTTCTTAGATTTCACTCTTTTTAAAAAAGAGCTCACTCCTCTGATCAGGGTTCCTGCTCTAGACCAGGCCCTCTGGGATGGCTCTCTCTTTCTGAGAGCAGAGGGTTCAGAGACACTGCCTTTAGGTTGGTGGGGATCTAAACAGAGAGAAGCAACTCTTAGCTCTTCTTTTCTAATTCTCTGGGTCCTTTTCTCTGAAGCTCTTTTTTTTTTTTTTCCTTTTCGAGACAGGGTCTCTCTGTGTAGCTCTGGCTATCCTGGAACTCACTTGGTAGACCAGGCTGGCCTCGAACTCAGAAATCCACCTGCCTCTGCCTCCCAAGTGCTGGGATTAAAGGCGTGCACCACCACTCCCCAGCTTCTTTGAAGCTCTTAGGGGACTGAGGACTAAGCGAGATGCCGAGCTCTGGAGACAGGAAAAAGTCCTCTTCCCCAGGCATGAGTGTCTCACACAGACTCCGTGCCTGCTACCTCAATTATCCTTGAGAAATCCCCACCTCCATTCCCAGAGCTAACTTCTATTATTGCTCCCATTTGGGGACAAAGAGCCTGAGGTCCCTAGAACTGGGTTCCTTGCTCTCAGCCATGAAGAGAATGAGGTACCTGGATAGGAGTCACACTGCAGGCCTCAGAAAGCATTGGCAGAAGCCAATGAAAGAAGCACATACTAAGTGGACTTTTAGTCTTGGAGACAAGGCTAGGAAGTGGTTCTTGTTGACGTGTCTCTGTAGAGCTGAGCCTAAGCTCTGGAGAGGGGAAGGAACTCAGAAGGCTACACAGCCAATCCATGGGTGTGTGTGTGTGTGTGAGACCCCATGGAGCCTAGAGGTGGGATGGTACAGGGGCTCCATAGAGGAGGGGGCCTGAGTCCCGTGGAAGCAGCTCCTGTCCTCAGTGAGCAAGCTGGGGGTGTGGTGCTGCCCGTGGTGAGCAGACGGAAGTCTCTGTGGGTGGCGGTGGGTTTGAGGTGCCAGAGACTGAGTGATGTGGCCAGGAGGTGTGCGCTCCGCATCTGCAGGCCTGGTCAGCAGGAGACGGGGTACAGTAAGATTCAGAGGAATGTGGGCTGATCTGGAGATTGGTATCTCTTGGTCACTGGTACTGGAGCATATGAGACCAGGAGCTGGAATAGAACAGGAGTAGAAACTGAGGCAAGGCTTGGGAAAGACAGGGCAAACTGAAAAAAGGGCACACTGGAGGAGTGTCCAGTAGGGTGTGGATGAGGGTGAGAGCCTGTGAGCAAAGCCTGTGGGAGATTGAGAAAGAGGTACTGGGAATGTTGAGTAGTGTCTTCTGGTTGGCATGGGGGTAGGGCTGGACTCCCAGTGTAGGAGGCTCCAACATGGGCCTCCAAGTATGGACTTCAGCTCTGGACAGGCATGAGCTAAGGAAGACTTTCAGGTAGGGGGAAACACAAGAAGCCGAGCGACAGGACAACTGCAGAAGCCCAGGCCCTAGAGCACTCAGAGCTGCAGGCAACTCTACCTCACCCCCAGCCAAGTGTGTGCCCATTGCATGACCCTTACCTCTCTGACCTCAATCTCTTACCTGCAAAATAACACTGATAAGTCCCGCCTCACGGAACTACAGAAAGGTTGGAGGAGCTACCATTGGCATACTGTAGAAACGTAAGAAATGCCATTTTCTCACAGTACTCCAAAAAGCACTTGCGGGAAGCTTTTTCTCCTGTCTTTTCTGATCTGGCTTGGCTGAGTAATTCTGCAAGATATAAAGCCACTTCAGAGCCTCAGTTGCCTGCCACCAGGAGGTTGATAACGGAGGTGACTTCAGATTTTGATGAGACAGTACCTGCCACTGTGCCCACAATCAAAATCAAAGCCAAACCCCAGCCCCCAGCCCTGTTTCACCTCCCCTCTGGGTCTGTTCTTAGGGCTCTTCTGCTGTCCCCACATCTGATGGTCTGGTATTGACATTGGGTGACCCCGATGCTTGGAACATGTCTCTCAGGAACCCTGTGAGCTCATCCCCCCTCCCCCACGTGTCCAGGGTTTGCTCAGATCTACCATTCTGTCCTCCTTGTCCCCTTTAATAAATCACACTTCCAGCATGTGAGCCCCCTTTCCCAGATGCATGCTCCTTTTCTTTGCTGCTCCTTTGCTTCTAACAGGCAGTGAAAGTCACCAGCCATCTACTCTGCCCCTGTCATTTGGGCAGGAAAAGATTCCCGCCTCTTCTGGTCACCTGGCACCTAGAAGAACCTAAGTAAATATTTGTTGACTATCTTAATGTTCTCAAGAGCTAACCTAATGTTGTGAGCAAAACTTGCGGAGCTCTGAGGGGCCCAAGTAACACAGGCTGGGGCCCCAGGAGCCTCCCCCAGTGTCTCAACCGTGAGAGGAAGTTGCAAGACGGCCATTTCAGTACACGGACTCAGCTCTTTATGGTCAGCTTTCCCAGCCCTTGATGGGGAGGTCTGTGTTTTCACACGCATCTTGCCACAGCTCCTGGGGTTCTGTGTGTAGGAAGGTGGGAAGGGGAGTTCCCTCACTCCTCAGTCCTTTGGGCTGAAATGCTGGGCTAGGGAGATTGAGGGTCTGTAGTTTCAGGATTCCTGTCGGTTTTGGTTGCTGGCCTACTCTGCAATTGTAATAACACCCTTCCCACCCCCATCAGCAACCAGCCCAGAGGGAACAAAGGGATATACAACCACCAGGCTGCCTGATCTCCCTGTCACTCTACAGGCCAGCCTCTTCCCCAGTGTAGGGGGAAGCGGCACCATCATGTGTGCTGCTAATAGAACGATAAACAGGTACAATTTAGTTGAGGGAGATAGGGCAATGCCTGTCTGTCTATCATCTCTCTCAGAATCAAAAACACACTGCCCTTTGACCTTGTGATTCAAGTGTTAGGCATTTTTACTAGACACATCCCTGCATGCATATAAACTAATGTATTTTATCAACAGCAGCCCCAGTTAGAGCAGCCAAAGATGGCTGAAGAGAGCTGTGCCAGCGTCTAACTGTGACATCCGGGAAGCAGAAAGAGAAGACCTGTAAGTTCAAGGCCGGAATAAAAGAAAGAATAACCCCAGTCGATAAGGACCTGGCTATAGAAACTGTGACCACGAGACACCATCCAGCAACGACAAGAACCACAGCAACATGCATCCATGTGGGCCACGGGGACACTACCAAAGTCTCTGCACGTTTTCTCTATTCATTTTCCGCTATGAAAATAAATTACAAAGGCAGTCTAGGTTACACAGTGAGTTCTAGGCTAACCAGACTGGGATGGTCTCAATTAAGTAAGTAAGTAAGTAAGTAAGTAAGTAAGTAAAAGTGAAAAACTAAAGTGCACTTTCAGAGATGTTTATAGGAAGAGCAGACAGGACAGGGCTATAACTCAGAGCTCCTGGCTGGTACTTGTGAGACCTTTATTTCAGTCCCCAGTACCACAAAGAAGCCAGACTGGAGGCACAGGCCAGGAATCACAGCTTCTGGGGAAGATGAGATGTGTGTACGTGCGTGTCTCTGTGTGTGTGTGTGGTGGGGGTGGGGGTGGCAGGAAGTTCCAGGCCTGCTGGGCGATTTAGTGACATTTTGTTTCATATTAAGGTGTAAAAGGAAGGCTGGAAGACACAGCTCGGTGGTGGGGCACTTGCCCGGCTTATGTGAGGCCCTGGGTTCAACCTCAGTGCAAGACAAAGAAAAATCAAGGAGATAAAGTTAGGGTACAGTTCCTTCTAGAAGGAAATGGGGGGAGAGCACGTAGGGCACGCTTCATGTTCATGTCTTCACTTGGGTAATTATGTCACAGGTGTTAACTTTACAACTATCTTTCACTTCGCACACGTATGTTATGTACTCTGTTTTATGAATGGTGTCCCATAGTCTGCAGATACACAGCTGGACAAGGTGACACACATTCATTGCCTTGCTACTGGTTTGTTCTGTTGTTTGTTTTTCAGTACCTAGGAATCAAACTGGGGCCTTGTGCTTGTTAGGGAAACACTCTAAACACGGGGGTACATCTTCAGCTGTAGTCCTTGCTACTTATGAGACTGAGGGTCACTTGAGCCTGGGAATTTGAAGTCAGTTTGCTCCTCCCACCAGGTGGGTCCCGGGAATCTAAGTTAGGTTGTCAAGGTTGGTGGTCTTTACCACTGAGCTCTCTCACTTGCCTTTTTTTTTTTTTAAACAAACTAAATTTTTTCCTCGTGGATTACCATGCTACATTCCTGGTAAAGTAATCATAAGTTGAAAATGCTTAAAGTTCAAAATGTATTTAATAGGGCTGGCCAACAGGCTCAGCAGGTAAGGGCACTAGCTGCTCAAACTGTGTAACCTGATTTCAGTCCTGGGAATACACATGTTAGAAGAGAACAGACTCCACAAAGCTGTCCTCTGACCTCCACACTTGGGCCATGGCATACATACCTGTCCCATCAAACACATAATAAAAACACAATGTGTTTTAACTTTAAAACGTATGTATGCCAGGACATGGTGGCGCATGCCTTTAATTCCAGCAGTCAGGAGGTAGAGGTAGGCTGATCTCTGAGATGGAGGCCAGCCTGGTCTACAGAGGGAGTTTTAGGACAGCTAAAGATACACAGAAGAACCCATTCTCTGAATGGGAAATGCATGTAAAGGGCTGGCGGGATGGCTTAGTGATTAAGAGTGTGTATTTGCTCTTGCAGAGGACACAAATTCAGGTCCCAGCACCCACATCAGGTGGCTCACAACACCTATAACTCCAGCTCTAGAGGAGTTGACATCCTCTTCTGATGGCTGAGGGAACCTGCACTCATGTGCACATTACACACACACATACAGAGAGAGAGAGAGAGAGAGAGAGAGACAGAGACAGAGACAGAGACACAGACACACACACAGACACAGACACAGAGACACATACAGACACACACAGACACACATACAAACACACAGACACATACAAACACACACAGACACACACACACACACACACAGACACAGAGACACACACCTCATATGTTTGCATCATCAACACAAAAATAAAAATAATTTAAAACTTTGTTTTTCTCTTCTGTTCCCTGGAGGCCCCAATATTTTTGGTTCCAAACCAATTTCCTGCCAGCAAAAGTGAGTCAAAAGCACTGCCCAGCAAGAGGCACCTGGTAACCTCCAGAAAGCCCAGGACACTCTCTTCTGGAGAGAGGCTGGGCTGGGCTCCCTTCTCTGAGGTCTGCTCACCCCTGACCATTGGCTCTCTGAGGCCCGACATCCCTGTGTTCCTCTGTGTCCTCTCTTCTCCCCAACCCCTTCCCCCTTTCCCTAAGGCTCCTGTTGTCAGCTTCTCTTCTCTCTTTTGGCCTTTGTATTTTGTTTCTCTTTCGCTTCCTGGATATCAGACCCCTCTTCCTGCTGGGAAACCTGAACCTGTCCAGAGCTCACTCTTCCATCCATAAGCTGTGTGACCCTTTTTGAGTCACAGATCTCCTAGGCCTCAGTTTACCAGGTTGCTGTCTTAGTCCCATGAGTTCACAAGGATGGAAACATCCAGCTTGGTAACAGACCCTAGACCCCTAAACCAATAGTTTTTCCCTGTCATGTTTGTGTGTGCGCCTGCGCGTGCACATGTGTGTGTGTGTGTGTACACTCACGTACATGTGTGTCCTTATATGTAGGACACACATACCAGGTAACATCTACAGTTTCTCAGGACATTGTCTATCTTGTGTTTTTGAGACAGGGTCCCTCACGTGCCTCGAACTCAGTGATTTGTCTAGGATGCTCCCTCCTGTCTCTACCTCTTCAGTGTTGGGTTTATAAGGTATACTACCATTCCCCGCTTTTTATGTAGGAGTCAGGATTGAACTCAGGTCCTCACCCTTGCAAGTGAGCACTTTACCAACTGAGCTATCACCCACATCCAAGTATCTTTTAAAAGGCAACTTTAACTTGGGTTGTGCATTAGCAGATTTCCCCTACTGCTCGTGATTTAAAACTAACACAGCACCACTACCCCCACGACCTTTGAGGACAAAACTCACTGCAAACTGAAAACATCTTGTGAAGGTGCCTTTAGCTCAGGACCACCACAACAGTCTCAGGTGCTTCTCTTAGTGACTGGGGTCAGGCTAGGAGCCTTCCTGTGGGTCCTGGGTTCCCTCTGAGAGGTACAAGGTTTGACTTGGGCTTTCTTGGAGTCTAGGATTCTGGGATTTTAATAACGGCAGGTCCCGGGAGGTGAGAGGGGAAGAGGCCTGGGAGGCCTTTGGGAATGAAAGGCTTCTCAAGTGTGCTCAACCACAGGATACTGCTATCCAGAAGGTGGGCCTCAGTCCGCACATTTCTAGAGAGTTTAGTCTTACATTTCCTTGTGTTCTCCCCTCCCCCACTGCCCAGGTCTGTTTTGTACTAGGGATTGAACTCAGAACACTAAGCACGCACTCCATGATTGAAACTCCTCCTAGCCACCCTGGCTTTCTCTCTCTTTTCCTTTTTTTTTTTTTTTGGTTTTTCGAGACAGGGTTTCTCTGTATAGCCCGGGCTGTCCTGGAACTCACTCTGTAGACCAGGCTGGCCTCGAACTCAGAAATCCGCCTGCCTCTGCCTCCCGAGTGCTGGGATTAAAGGCGTGCGCCACCACCGCCCGGCCTTCTCTTTTCCTTTTTTAAAAAATTATTTTGCTGGGAAGTGGTGGAGCACGCCTTTAATCCCAGCACTTGGAAGACAGAGGCAGGCAGATCTCTGAGATGGAGGCCAGCCCGGTCTTCAGAGTGAAGAAGAAAAAAAGAAAAAAAGAAAAAAGAAAAAAGAAAAAAAATTAGAATTATTTCTTTAATGTGGACAAGCGTTTGTTTGTTTGTTTGTTAACTTACGTATGTATACCATGTGTGCATCAAAAGAGGACATTGGACATTGGACACTGGATCTCCCAGAACTGGAGTTTTATACAGCTGTGAGCCACCATGTGGGTACTGGGAGTGGAGCATAGGGCTTCTGTAAGAACTACAAATCTGTCAACCTCTCTGTCATCCTTCTGGACACCTCTGGCCCTCTTTTATGAGCTGCCATTGGGCAGACATAGGACAATAGAACGATTCTTTCCTGGAGGCCCTTGAATTTTATGCCCTGGGAACACAGCCTACCTGGTCTCCTGTCTGCGACCATAAGACAAATCTCACATTCCCTGCTTAGAACCAACAGAAACTCCATTGATGATGCTGTATTTGGCCCAGGCTCCTGGGCTTAGCAATGAAGGTTTGCATTCTCATTATGCCTTTCTCCTGGCCACAGTGATGGCAGCTTTCTGCTCCAGGTTCTCTGACTCCCTGCCTCTGATCAGATTGACTTCTCTATCAGGCCTGCATTTTGTGATATCCCTTGCTCACTGCTCCCAGGATGTCCTTTCTGTGACACTGATCAAATGACTTGTCCTCAAACGTACCCACTACCCATCTCTCTTGCATTCTCTCCACAAAGCCCACAGTCTGTCTGCATATCTCTCTGTGGGCCTGTGGACGCCATGCAGGTCTCATTCATGTTTGTGTACCTGTAGGCCCAGCACACAGAAATCACTGAATGAAATGTCTGTAACTGGATGAATACAGAAATGCATAAACATGTTCATAAAGAGAACAAGCTAGGGTCTGGGGATGAAAGCCCCGAGTTCAATCCCCAGCACCACATAAACTGAGCAATTGAATGTGGCGGCCCACATCTTTGGTACTTTGAAGGTGGAGGCAGGAGGATCAAAAGATCAAAGCCATTCTCAGCTACACAAAAAAGTTCAAGGATAGTCTGGGCTAGAGATCCTAACAAAAACAAGGTGGGGTGAGGGCAGGGAGGAAGGGGAAGAAGGAGGAGAAGGAGAGAGAAGAGAGGAGGGAAAAGAAGGGTGGAGACAAGATGAGGGAGAGAGTGAAAGGAGAAAGGAACGAGGAAGAATTTAGGGCTTGGCATGGGGCTTGCTCCCAGGATTCCAGCACATCGAGGCAAAGGTGAGAGAATAAATACAAATTTGAAAACAGCCTGGTCTATACAGGGGTTTACCATAAGGAAGACCTTACTAAAACAATCCAAGCAACAAATTAATGAATAAAAATAACAGTCAAGGGCTGTTTCCCATGTCACAGACCACTCTCCTCTATAACCGAGTCACCCGGAATTGGCCTGTTGGATAGGTACATGAGGAAATACAAGTGCCAGTGTAGAGCGAGCTTGTGTCTTCCCTCATCTCAGGGAGGCCCTGAGTCAGGTTCCTGGGAGCCCTGAGCATGTGTGATCTGGACCCTCTGGGGAGTCCCAAGTGTGTCTGCAAGAAAAGAGAGGATACAAGTGAAGGTGACACATGGGACCCTTCCTTTTCTGCTGGCAGTAAGAAACTACTGGGGTATATGGAGGGATCAGGCTAGTTTTTATATAAAGCAAGAGGTTAAAGTATACATAGGAGGAAGCTGTTAGACCAAAAGTCCTCCCTAGCCAGAGGATGGTGGGACACACCTTTAAGCCCAGCACCCAGGAAGCAAAGGCAAGTACAGAGTGAGTCCAGGACAGCCAAGGCTACACAGAAAAACTCTGTCTCAAAAAGACAAAAACAAAAAAGTTTTGCTCAACAGAGTAGTCTCCCTAGAGGTGTGTGTGTCCTCGGGGTTGGAAGTTGGGGGCTGGTGTGTGTGGTGTGTGTTGTTCTACTCTCTAGACTAGATATCTGAAGGGCAGGGAACCTTTTAACTTTCCCAGATCTCAACATAGAGCTTGATTAACATTGGCAAGATGCATGGATGGATAGATGGGTAGATGGATGGATGGATGCATGCATGCATGGATGGATGGATAAATGGATGGATGGGTGGATGGATGGATGGATGGATGGATGGATGGATAAATGGATGGATGGATGGATGGATGGATGTGTGCATGGATGGATGGATGGATGGATGTGTGCATGGATGGATGGATGGGTTGGTGGATGGATGGATGGATATATAAATAGGTAGATCGATTAATAGTTAGGTGATGGATGGAAAAATTGATAGGTAGACAGTATAAATGTATGGGCAGGTGGATGAATGGATAAACAGACTGATGGATAGGTGGATGGATGGATGGGAAAGTGGATTAGGAGGTAGATAGATAAGTAGATGAGTAGGCAGGGAGATGGATAGATATAGGCAGACGAATGAATGGATCTATAGATTAAGTGAATAGACGATATGTGGGTGGAAGAATGTATGTGTAGCTAAATGATGGATGGACGGACAGATGGATGGATAGATGAATGGATCGACAGATGGATAGATTGACAGGAGATTATATAGTAAAGAAATAAAAATACAAACTGTTAGCAGATGGATGGGCTGATGTATGGACAGACAGGTGGCTACATGAACATGTTGCTCAACACAAGGGTAGAGGATGAAGTGATGGACAGCTCAGAAATGAGCAGCTGGATGAAGAGATAGATGTGTAGATGGATGGGTGGTGTGATGGGCTGGAGAGATGAACAGACAATCAGAAAGAGATGAGGATAGGAAAACAGGAAAGGAGAAACACGAGGAAGGTTTGTAAGAGAGGAAGTCTAGATAGTAACATTCAAGGGTTGGAGAAACTGGGAAATCTGGGCTGAGAACAATGTCCTTAGGGATCTAATACCAGCTGTGGTACTTAGCTGGAGTGTGTGTGTGTGTGTGTGTGTGTGTGTGTGTGTGTGTGTGTATAAAAAGCCACAGTCCTTCCCAATTAGAGAGAAGCCCACTGGAGGAGTCAGGGAAAGAGATACAAGGTGGGAGACCCAATGTCTACTGTTGGCCCTAACCGGTTTAGGACGATCCAGCAGATATTGCAGGGCCTACAGGAAGAACCAAGCCTGGCAGCCTTGGGACCAAAATCCTCCACCTGCCAATTTTACCCTAGAAATTAGGGACCCACACTGTCACTATTCTGACCCCCTAAAGAGGTAACTCTTGGCCACCATGGGGATCTGAGAAGAAATCGGTATTATTAGGCAAAAAGAACAGTGGAAAACCTCAACAAGACCAGCGGTTGGAGCAGCAAAAGCCTTCCATGGTAGCGCTAGCCTTTCTCCCTCCCAGCCCCAGTTTCCTCTGGGTAGGGGGCCTGGTCCCCTGGCTTCCCAGGGCTGCCCTTTGAGAACCACCTGCCCCAGCCGGCCAGAGACTTCCTGTAGCGCAAGAGATTTATGCAAACGGGCTGGGGCGGTGATGTCACCCCAAGGGGACTATCTCCCAGTGGCAGGCCCTTCGATAAAATCAGGAACTTGTGCTGGCCCTGCAATGTCAAGGGAGGGGGCTCACCCAGGGCTCCTGTAGCTCAGGGGGCAGGCCTGAGCCCTGCGTCTGACCCACGACCGTCCAGCCCCCCGACGGGGCACCTGGTCCTGAGGGGGATCCACATTGATCTCTACCGAAGCAGGGGATCTGATCAACCTGGAGCTCAGCTGGATGTTACAGGCGTGCAAAATGGAAGGGTTTCACCTCGTCACCCCTGTGAGTACTAGGGTTCGCTACCAGCCCAGCCTGGGGCCTTGGGATGTGTGACTATCTGTCCACTAACCCACCAGCTCACTCGCTGTCCTCTGGCTCCCTATCAGTGGGAAGTTGGTGTTTCCTCCCCGGAGCTGCTGGTCTGAGACCCAGCGAGGGGCCATTGGCTTCCTTAGAGCATGCCCTGGCGGGCTGAGGGTTGCCGGCTGGCCCCATGGTGGGGCTGTGATCGGTGGGGCCTGAACAGCTATTTATAGATGGGTTCAGTGGCAGGCCAAGCTCTAGGGCAGGGTACTGGGCTGAAGATGGCGAGGGTGGCTACTGAGAGGCCATGGATGAGGAGATCTGGAGACTGGCTTAGGAGCCCTTGGAGGCAGCAGGAGAGGTTTTAACTCATGACCTATGGGCTCCTGAGACAAAGGCTATTAGAACTCTAAGTCATCCATGGGTCCCCAACATTCAGTTTGTGGCCTGGCAGAGAAGAACGGCTGTTGATCCAAGTGTTTGGGCTTTGGGCCTACATGGATCTGAGAGTCTGGGGCAGTGACCAACACTGGCTTCTTGGGGCCAGGCTGGGCAAGGTAGCACATACGGCAGAAACACTGCAGTTAGATTTGTGGCTAGAACTTAACTCAAGAAGAAATTGGGTGAAGGATGGACTGGAACCAGAATGGGACAGAGATTGGGGCTGGAGCAAAAGGACCTGGCTGGAGTTAAGGTGGGGACAGGGACAGAGACACAAGCAGGTGGGCAGACCCTGCTGTTCCTCCTGTTTTCAGTGACAGTCACAGCTTTAGGCAAATGGCAGCCCAGGATTCCTTAGAGAGGACCCTCTTTCGTTCTCCTACCCTTGGAGGTGTTGGGGCAGCGAGGAAAAGGCTGAGGCGGGCCTGCCCACCTGACTCAGCTTTCCTGAACTACAGACAAATCTCTTTTCTACCCCACCCAGCCTTCAAGCCTTTGGTAGCATGTTAGGCCTGACATCATAGCCAATGTCCTGCAATAGGGGCAGGCCCAGTGGAAACCCAGGGAAGTGGGGCAGCTTCTGACTCTCTCACAGGATAGAAGACGGGCTGGCCAAACCTCACTGTCCTCACCTTTATCCTCATCCCCTTCTCCCACCTGGGACAGAGAAGGTGCGGGGCCAAGCACAAGTGATGGAGGTTGTCCCAGAAGTCCACCCTGTCTCAATTAAAGCCACTGTCCCCTACCCTTGACCTCTCCTTCCTGCAGATATGGGCACAGGGCAGACCTCCAGCTCCTATACCAGAGCCGTATCCCCTCTCTCCAGCCTCAGAAGCCATCCTGAGTGTCTCTTGAGTGGATGGGCTCCCAAGGTAGCCCTGGCCCACCAAGCAAGGCCACAGTAACTATTGTGCAATCCTTGGGCACACTCTGTGGGGGTGGGGAGAAGCCCAGTGACTGACGGGAAGGCTTGGGCGTGCATATCCCTGTGCCCAAGCAAGTGAGAGAGGGGATGGAGGAGGCAGAGGGAGAGAAGACGGAGAAAGGAGGGAAGAAAGACAGAGGGAGGGGAGGATGACAAGGAGGAGGGAGAGAGAAATTAACAGTGGCAGGGAGTCTCTCATGAAGGACAGTGGAGGGAGGGGCAGAAGGGATAGTCCCTTGGTCCCCAAAACCTGCCTGGGTAACCTTTGTACAAACAAATCGACGTGACAGTCGTCGTCTCGGACTGTGTCTGCCTGGGGCTAGATGGACAGAGGCTAACTAGGAGGGGGAGGTGTGAGGAGTGGGGGGCAGGCCGTAGCAGACGGACACAGTGTAGCACTGGACAGTGGGATGTGCTTGGCTCTGAAAGGCTCTGTGAACGTACTGATGTCTGGGACACAACGTGAACATGTGTGTGTCAGTACACACGTGTGGGCCGGCAGGGGTGAGTGAACAGTGAGTGTCTGTGTGTGTGAGTAGATGTAAGACACTTGCGTGAGACGTGGGGCTCACACGAGGGTGAGCATGGCTGTGTGTGAGACGGAGACAGGAACCCAAGAATGAATGTGTGAACATGTGAGAGTGAGTCCCCATGGGTCTGGGTATAAGTGTGTCACAGGGAGTATTTGTACATGTGGGGGAAGGGTAAATTGGTGGGAATGGGAGAGGGCAACAGGTCCCCATGGGCGTGGGTGTGTGTGGAATGGTGCAGTGGATAATAAGAAAAGAAAGGAAGGGGATGCACTCACCATCTTTTCAGCTCTGGTTCGTTGACCTTTGACCTCTCTACCTCGGTTCTGTTGACCTTTGACCTCTCTACCTCATCATTGCCTTTGCACACTGTCCTGAACTTCCTACCACTGCCTTACCCACTGTGTCCCTAAGCACCCTGGATTCGAAGCGAAGGCTGGGCAGCTCCCAGTTACTCCAGTCACAGGCCTTAAATTTAGCTGAAAACCTTACTGGAATCTCAAGAGCTCAGGCTCTGACACCTTTCTCTCTCGGCAGCCATCAGATGATCTGGTTACTTTCGAACCAGCAGAACTATACCCACGTCAAACGCATGATTACTACCCCTTGATCGGCGGTGATGGAGACAGCCATAGCGGTGAGTACATGGTCCTCCACCCCGCATCCCAGCATGCCCTGGGGCTGGAGAGAGGAAAAGACTCCTGAGGCTACTTGGAATTCTGAGAGTAAGATGCAGGCAGCTACCTCATCCCTCCATCCCACAACATCTGCCCATCTCTGACACCTGAGCATCTTCCTGTGTCAAGGACAAATTTACTGTCTTTCTCATTTACCTTGTCTGGTCTTTGGGAACTTTTTAAAAAATAAATTTATTTTCATACAATATATTCTTATTGTGGTTCCCGCTTCCCCAGCTCATTCCAGATTCTCTCCACCATTCCAATCCATACCTTCTCTTTCTCTCCCTCATTAGAAAATAAACAGACACTTAAAAATAAATTAAGATAAAACAAAAGAATAGGATAAAACAAACAGACAGAAAAAAATAGACAAAGGAAAAGTGCAAGAAACACATATAAGCCTGGTCTACAGAGTGAGTTCCAGAACAGCTTGATCTATAAAGAGAGTTCCAGGACAGCCTGGTCTACAGAGTGAGTTCCAGGACAGCCTGGTCTACAGAGAGAGTTCCAGGACAGCCTGATCTACAGAGTGAGTTCCAGGACAGCCTGGTCTACAGAGTGAGTTCCAGGACAGCCTGGTCTACAGAGAGAGTTCCAGGACAGCCTGGTCTACAGAGTGAGTTCCAGGACAGCCTGGTCTACAGAGTGAGTTCCAGGACAGCCTGGTCTACAGAGAGAGTTCCAGGACAGCCTGGTCTACAGAGTGAGTTCCAGGACAGCCTGGTCTACAGAGAGAGTTTCAGGACACCCTGGTCTACAGAGAGAGTTCCAGGACAGCCAGGGCTACATAGAGAAACCTTGTCTCAGGGGGAGAAAGAAAGAAAGAAAGAAAGAAAGAAAGAAAGAAAGAAAGAAAGA